CTTCTAATTTCAAAATTGTAACTCCTTGGCCAGAGAACAACAATATGGGCCGGTTTACAAGCATTGAATGGGTGTTGGTTTTCCAGTAGTATAAAACTCATTGGCAGATTTAGCCCCTCTTACCATTTTCGAGCCAGAGACCAAACATATACTTCAAGCTGAGCTCCACCCAAAAGCTGAATTTCAACTTTAATGCATGTCCCCTGCTCCCGGTTAAGGATTCACCTTTGTGAATTGAGTCTCTGAATGTGACGGGTACCTGCTCCCACTTGTGCTGCGATTGTTGTTGTTGGCGATTGGATATCCCCCCCCCCCCCCTTCCATCGTAGTCTTATTGGACATTTGACCGGTCCCTGAAGACTACGGGACCATTACCAAAGCGCAGAGCTACTGAAGAATGTGTAGTGGGCACCTGCCTGGGAAGCCACAAGCTGTCGCAGACAGGGGCACACACTGAAGATGGTGGCACCAGGGAGAGAAGATGGCTGATAAAACCAGTCATGGTGAGGACCCTGCTGGATGGAGGAACCGTTGAGTGTCTGTATTTGTCAAGTCAGCAGCTACTTTTTTTTTTTTATTATTATATCTGCTGAGTTTGATTGTTTAACAAATCAAATGGAAAATCCTCTAACTTTGAGGACGAACTTACATTGGGTCTAATCTTTGCTCTCGGATTTCTATATGCTCTGTCAAACTGTTACTTGTTCAATAAATAAGACCTGGATTTGGGTATCCTTGTGTGGATTATTCTTGGAAATATTGTAGTCTGTTACTAACATTAATATTGTCCGACCTCAGATATATTAGCCAATTCTATGGATTGAAAAGATTTATATTATATATATATATATATAAAACTTTATTTAAGATAACGATTGGTCAAGACCAAAACAAGGACCCAATTGATTGCAACTGCAACAAATTTAATCTCTACCTACGGTAGAATACGTACATGTGAAGTAGCAGGCGATAAGGTCAGCTCGCATGGCCATCCTGTCGTTGGTATTCCACCTTCGGGAGACCCACAGTTGACGGACTTCAGGCGTCATCTCCCAGGAATAATTCCTCGCCTGGTGTAGGAGGCAACAGGCGAGGATGATCCTGGAACACTTCGGAGGAGAGTATAGTAACTAACCCCCAGGCCTGGCCAAACACAAAAAGCGTGACTTTAGAAATCCTATTGTCTGCTCCACAATAGCTTGGCTTTTGGAATGAGCCTTGTTTATAATTTGTTTCGGCTATGCTCTGGGGGTACCTGACTGGAGCCATCAGCTGCGGATAGGCGGCATCCCCTGTGGGTGAAAAAGAACAAATGTGGTCAAGTAATTGCATTAGTATGGTTATATATTATATAGAAGTTCAAAACGTCCATTATTTCTAAGGTTGGTTTCTACCTAGACACAGTTGATAGCCTTTCTCCATTTTACACTGACCAGGCTTTGTACAATGTGAATGTCAAATCACTTTTAGGGCATGAAGTCAGTGTTTGGAATATATGGACCTTCCTTATCTCTTTTCCACATTATCTGCTGATTGGTACATATATGCATCCTCTTGTTTTTGTTTTAGGGCCTAGAGTCCACATCTATGTGGCGTAAGGTGAACCTTTTGCTGGGCTGAGAGGGTGTTCCCAGCACAGTCCTCAGTGGGGCCAGAGAAAGGGCTGGATGTATGCGTGCAAAGGTTAGCTTTAGGATCATGTTATTGCTTTTATTGGCAAGCACAGTGGCCTCATAACTGCAAAGCCTGGGCCTGTCATCTTTGGTAATGTGCATGCAATATTATAGTTCATGTGGAGCCACAAACACACAATACCTTACCAAGATGCCAGCCGTCTGGCATTTGCCCACTATGGAACTTCCGGTACACACCCGACTGGTGGACTATAAAGGCATCATGGCACGACCCTGGAAAACCTGAGTGGACACTCATGATACGCTGTCTGGCTTCACAGAGAACTTGGATGTTAAGTGAGTGGTACTGCTTGCAGTTGCGAAAGTCCACTTTTTCTCTCCTGGGGGCTCTGATTGCTACATGGGTGCAATCGGTTGCACCTAGTATTTGCAGCGTTTGGACACACAGGTAAAAACCCACCTTTATACCATTCCACTCCTCTTCATTTTGTGGCCAGTGAATAAGTCGTGGCACCAGGTCAAGAATGGTATCTATGACCTGCATAAAAACCCTGGACACAGTTGGTTGACTTATCCCAACAATAAGTCCAGAGGTGGTTTGGAAGCTCCCATGACCCAAAATATAGAGGGTCGTCAGCAACTTTACCATCCCAGGTAGAGCATGACTGCGCCGTGTGGTGGGCACAATATTTTCCTCTATGAGGTGATAGAGGTGCATAATTGCATCTCGTCCTAAACTAAACCGACGCCGGATATCGAGTCCTGCAAATTTTCAAGATATGTGCGTTTGACAAAGAGCCGTGGCTCATGTAAGCGCCATCAAAGGAGCAGGATCTGGAGCAGGTTCCTGATTTGCAGCAGGATACAGAGCACGAGGTTCAGCTGCAGCTGTATCACACAACAGTTGTAGGAAAACTGTTAAAGCTGTATATAGACATTCCTCATATGCATCATTCACATCCTGGTTCATCATCTCCTCCGCCATCTCAGCAACCAAGTACATGCACGAGACTGGACGGCTTTTGCGCGTGTATATAATATACACTTTACGGCAATGGCGCACACATACGCGTCATCGCCGCCTGACTATAAATGAGAGCACATGGACGGTCAGTCTTCTCATACAGCAGATGTGGCATGAGAGCATCTCTAAGGTAAGCTTACAATGTTGTTAGAGTACATTTTAACTGACATTTGTTACTATAAATGCCAAAAAATGTGCTATACAACACTATTACGTGTAAACAAATTTATCCTTCTCTACTTTAATTTGCCCATGTTTTGGATTGTATCTGTGCTTTTCATTTAGCTCACTTTCAGCTGTTTGTAGCACCTGTAGTGTGCCATTGCCCAAAAACATTTACTTATGTTATAATGTGTTTGGCCAAACATAATATTTTTTGCCAGACTTTTGCCCTTTTTGTCTTTTTTTTTCTCTTTGGAGTATTTCGACATTTACAAGGGCCATTTATATTTGGTAAGTGTGGTCCCCACTAGGGCATGTGCTGTTGTTGGCGGCCAGAGCCCTGACTTTGGCCCCCTTCTGTCTTTCTCTTTGCAGTTCTCTGACGTATTATTCTCCCTCCCACACCCCCGGAGAGGGGCAAGTTTCGATTTGGTAAGTGTGGTCCCCCCACTGGGGCATGTGCTGTTGTTGGTGGCCAGAAGGGGCCTGACTTTGGCCCTTCTTTCTTTCTCTTTCTCTTTGCAGTTCTCTGACGTATTTTTCCCTCCCACAGTGTGGTCCCCCAGAGAGGGGCAAGTTTCGCCCTTCTGTCTTTTTGGTAAGTGTGGTCCCCACTAGGGCATGTGCTGTTGTTGGCGGCCAGAGCCCTGACTTTGGCCCTTCTGTCTTTTTTCTTTGCAGTTCTCTGACATATTTTCGCCCCACACCCCCGGAGAGGGGCAAGTTTCGATTTGGTAAGTGTGGTCCCCACTAGGGCATGTGCTGTTGTTGGCGGCCAGAGCCCTGACTTTGGCCCTTCTGTATTTTTTTTTTTTTCTTTGCAGTTTTTGGGACGTATTCCCCCCCCACACCCCCAGAGAGGGGCAAGTTTCGAATTTGGTAAGTGTGGTCCCCACTAGGGCATGTGCTGTTGTTGGTGGCCAGAGCTCTGACTTTGGCCCTTCTGTCTTTTTCTTTCTCTTGCAGCAAGTTTCTCTGACGTATCCCCCCCCCCCGGACGTATCCACCCCCCCCGGCCAGCAGCAGAACAATTAATTTTATTTTTTTGGTAAGTGTGGCCCTTCCTCCAGGGCATGTGCTGTCTTTTGAGGTCAGACAACTAACCCTTACCCTTATGTCACTTTTTGTGTTTCAGATTTCTACACTTGTCCAGGGTTCCTGCTGCTGCTGCAAACAGCACCAAGCCAGACCCCCTGCCCACTTGTCCTCCCATGGTGGGCCGAAGAGGCCGTGGACCCAGGGGGGGGCGTGGTGTCCTGCGGGGCACTGGGCCTTCCCCTGGGTCAGTTGGCAGGGGGGCCCAGGAGGTTTTTAGGGCAAGGGAGGGCATGGAGGGCCGGGGGTCTGGCTCTGGTGTGAGGGGGCACCAAGCTGGTGGCAGAAGGAGCCAATCTTCCTTCCGAGAAGAGGCGGAAGCTGTGGCTGCTGCCTCCCCTTCTAGTCCTGAAGAAGGGACATCAAGGGGAGGCAGATGGGGCCGGGCCTGGCCCCAGGCCCCGACCAAGCCAAAGTTTCCGCCCTTCTCCCGCGATGAGAACTGGGCCCTTGTGTCTGCTTTTATGGAAAGAGCAGACCAAATTTTAGGGCTCAGGTCCTCCCGCAGCGATCAGGCGGCCAAGGACTGTCTGTGGGAGGAAATCGCGGTGGCCGTGAATGCAGTGGGCAGGATGATGCGCCGGAGCCTCCCAACCTCAAGAAGCGTATGCGTGATCTGAGACGGAATTTAAAGTCGAAGTTGGCTGAGTGGGCTGAGCAGGGGCATGTTACCATCGGAGGTGTGGATCCGGACCATCTTCAGCGCCTGTCTCGGGTAGAACGAGCACTTCTGCCAGTCATCAGCATGTCCACGATTTTGGGGGTGACGGCTCGTGCAGATTCTGATGACTTGCAGAGTGGTAAGTACACTACACATGCCCATATTGTCTTTAAAGTTGTGTTATCTTTTTGTAAAGCAAAGTGTGTGAAATAGTGTAGCTTTACATTTGTTGTTCATTTTGTCTTGTGTTGTAGCCCGTCCCGGGCCAGGTGCTGCCCCTGCCAGCCCCTCAGACGACTCGGATCACGCATACGCTGATCCAGAGGTGTTCCCTCCTGGTAAGCACTCATTGGGAATGCACCCTGTAATGTTGAGCAGGCTCCTAGAACATCAAACATCATCTCACATGTCAATGTCCTATTCACAGCACAACATCAGCAGGAGGAGGAGGAGAGGCTCCCCCCACTGCAGTCAGGCCAGGAGGAAGATCTGGGTATGTATTAATGTGCTTGCCTAGAACAATCATAATCACTCAAGATAAGCCTATGAGCATCCTTTTTAGGAATGCAGAACAAACCAACGCTAAACTCTGTGTGAACACAAATATATCTCCACAACACGCTGTATTTCTTTGGGGCTCCTCACTGTATTGCACTCAAACCCCTAGAGAAATCAATGTGAAAAACTGTTACAATGCAGAAATGTCTAATCCCTGCCAAATGTTGTGGGCCCAGTTTCCCCAGGCCAATACAAGCAGGTAACCCCACCAAACCAAATTGGGGAGCTAACTGATGAGAGCAATAAAGTTCTAAACATCACTAACTAGCTGACATCTCCTGAGCGTTCAAAATCAGACTCGCCTGTGCAACTTCAGAAATTCTCCCAGACACAAAAACATTCCACGCATGTAAAACACATACATGTAATCTGACCAATGTCAAAAAAAATGCTCATCTCTGACAGTCCCAGAATATCCAATGTGTTTGGTGTTTAGTGCCATGCATATATCATGCCTGCTCAATATACAGGAAGTGATGTGCTCCATTACCTCCCAATCGTGCCGCTCAACTTCAGGTTTGAACCGCACAAAGGGAAGGCCAAACACACTTTGGCCAACACTATGGTTGGCAGAACTAGCAACATTCCTCAAATTCTCTTGGAATCAGTAAGTATCATTTTAAGGCTGCAGGTCTCCAGGCAAATCCTTGTTAAAAGTAAAGCCTAAAAGAGCTCATGCTTGTTTTACATTTCCATTCAATGAGTTTATTGGCCCCCCTTAAGGATGCAGATTTTCGGAGTAGTGTTTAAACACTTGTCACCTGCACTGTAGTTGTCATTTGTCTACAGTCCAGGGAGAGCATCAAATGACGCCCTCCCGCGTGCTCCTGGGGGCTCACAGCTGCCGATCTCTGTAGCCTTTTACCACGTGATCACGGCAGATCAACAACGGTCAATGTAATTGCCAGTTATCGGCTGCACTTTCTTCATGCTGTCAGTGTGAGGAATGTACTGCAGATAACCATCAATTTGCAGAGGATGGCTCGCCACCGATCATCAGGGCACTGATTATCATTGCCCTGATGATCAATGCCCAGCAGGGCCACCAGTCAGTGCTGCCTATCAGTGGCTATCATTGGTGCAGATCAGTGCAGCATCATCAGTGCTGCCCATCCATGCCACCTCATCAGTGCAGTCTCATCAACAGCTCAGTGAAGGTGAAAAGTTACCTCTTTGAAGAATTTGATAAGAGAAAAAAAGAGAAACACAGTTTTTCACATTGTTAGGTGGTTATGTATTTTTAGGGCAACCAAAAAAAAAAAGCACACCCAGCAGCCATTAAGTATCCCCCAAAGCAACCACTATTTGTGTGAAAACAATGTCATATGAGTACAGTGTTGCATGACCACAATTGTCATTCAAAGTGCAACAGCACTGAAAGGTGAAAATTGGCCAGCCCAGGAATGGATTTTAACTGGCCAGTAGGCAAGTGGTTAAAAAAGCTGTGCTGACAATGCTGCCAGTGATATCTAGTGGGCTCTCTCTCCTGACTTGTTTCATCATGTGATCTGGGACTTAAGCATAGTAAAACGTTAGAGGTCAACATCAAGAAATGTAGCTACTCACCCAATTGTCAAGTTCAAAGTGACTGCGTCCATTTTACCATAGCTCAAATGCAGGGGCAAAATCAAAGACATACCAAGACTGAGTATTTTTGGAGCCATTTTCCCAAAGCCAAAAAACCCAGCCAGATCACAATTAAAAGCACACACAAATGTCAGTTTTCTAAGTCCCGAAAAAGGAATCTCCAGGGGCAAATCATTTTACCGTGCCCCCCCCCCCCAAAACAAAGTAAATGAAATAATGCTTTACGCCTCTCATGTAAACATGGGGCCAATAGACTGCTTGAGTTTGGCACATAACATGACTAGCAGGAAGATCTATTCCTTTGCCAGACCTATCCACCCAGATTCTCGGCTTTGAAGTTGCCTAAAGCCCAAAAGGCATCATAAAGACTAAATTTATTGTTCATTGACAAATACACTATATTGCCAACACTGTTGGGATACCTTCCTTTCTGCACACATGAACTTGAATGGCGTCTTAGTCTGTACGGTTCAATATTGACGAGTCCTGCCGTTTGTAGCTCAAACAGCTTCAAATTGTCTGGAAAGGCTGTTTAATCTTTTCGGCTATTCTTAGGCTATTCTTAGACTGGCACATGAGAATTTTCTTTTTCACATTGAGTTGTCATGAGACTTGCGGTTTAAAAGTGATTAAAGGAATTTTGGATGCATTGGTCTTGATCTCTTCAGAGCCACAGTTACAGTATATCAATTCTTTGGGATGCATTTACATGCGTTGGGCTTTGGCAATATTTTGGGGCTGGGCACATTTTTATATTTGATTGGAGCATTTTGGGTTGGCATTGAAGCCTTTTTGGAATGTTGCCCCTTAACGACAAATGTTATATCTTTGGATTAAATGTTTGAAGCCCAAGGTCTGAAAGCCTGCAGTAGCTTATGGGCATATTGTAGCCATCCTAACACATCTGCCTCCTTGTTTGGCAGGAAAGGTGGCCACTAATTCTTTTGGCCCCTGCTCCTGAGCCTTACCATGCCTCTTTCTACTCTCAAGCAGTCTCGTGGCCTGTGGGTGCCAGTGTCCTATTTCTCTGGATAAACTGTTGTGAAAAACATAACAATGAGCAATCCTTCAAACCCTGGTCAAAAATGTCAGATCATACATACAGCCTAACGTGTATCTGTTGCTAATCATCTTGAAATCTATTTTCAGATCTTTTGGACCTGGATGCCCCAGCTGGGGGAGAACAGTCTGCATCTGATGTTGGGGTATGGGAACTGCTGTAATGGGGTGGGGATGTTCAAATGCATGTTGCATGTGTATTTGGGAAATGTAATGCATTTTTTTTGTTTTTGTGGTGCAGAGAATTTCAGACACTCCAATATTCCATCAAAGTCCGTCACCTACACCTGAGTGGCCTGAACCTCCGGTGAGAAATGCTAAAGATGTTATCCCTAATGAGTTACCCATTTAGAGTATAACTCTGTTCCTGGCTGGGTAGGATTTGGCACCTTGATGTGTAACTTACTTTTTTGGGATCATTGCTTAGTCATGAGCTGGAGAGAGAGAGTGATGTGCATGTGACAATTCAGCTTTTTAGCATTTCACTTTGTCTAAATCCAAATCCAATCACATTTCAGAGCAGGAAGGTATCAGTCTGGGTAAAGATGCCAAATCATTCATTTCAGGAAAATGTTCATCCAGTGTAATGTGTCAGGGAAAGGCATTTGCCAATACCTGGTCCTAGGGGTGGGACATGAGCTAGTGTTTGGTGTCAGACGAGCCCCCTGTCCTACTGTATGCTTGTGCTGTGTGTTAAACACTCCTTTAATATTTTTTTTTGTTTGTTTCTCCTTGCAGCCAACATTGATGCAGCTGGATCGGCACCCCATCCACCTGGACACAGCCCCCTTCTCGAGCTTGGGGAAAGGCTGTTGTTCCATATGGATAGATTATGGGAGCAAAGGAGGCTTTCTAATGTGCCCACTAATCTAGAAGGTTTACTGGGGCTCCAACAGACAACCCTGCTTGAACTTGTCACTGCAGTCCGGGCTCACACTGCAGTGCTGCAGGAAAACACTGCAGTGCTGCATGATATCCGGGCCTTATGTCAAGCAGGGCTTGATCAAAATGCACCTTCAACCAGAGGCTCACAACCCCTGTGCAGTAGTTGTTTGGAGCCAATGCCAAGGGTGCCACACAGTTCTCCTGCTGAAAGTGGTGGGGAATCAGCAGGGGAACAAGCTTTGGAGGTGCCGATTTTGGAACCACCCACTCTGGTGCAGCCCCCTCAAGAAACCACACCACAAGTCCAGTATGCCTCCTTCCCCATGCCTCACACTTCTGCACCTTTCTCACATTCAACTTTGCCCCCTTGACCACACCCTCACTTCCACAGCCCCTCCCATTTTTTTTCTACACACCCCTCCTCTCAATCCCGTTTCCACCCTTACCTTCCACATCCTGCACACATACACACGCACTCCAATGCCCCTCTCAACATTCTCCCTACCCACATACCCCTCTTCACCACACATTCAACCCCTTCTCCAGCACTCCCACCCTATCACTCTTTCCCAGCCCCGCAACACTTCTACCCTGCCTTACATCCCCACATTTCCTTCACCCCAGCCAGCCCTCTATCCTCAATACTATTTCCCAGCCCCTCCACACCCAGTACCTCCAACCCTCACACCACCTCCCCCTGCAGCAGCAGCAGCAGCAGCATCACCTGCTGGAGCCACCGCCACATCCTCCTCCTCATCCCATCTCCTCCTATTAATTATTTAGTTCAGGTACTTATGTAGCGCTGTTAATTTACGCAGCGCTTTACATATATATTGTACATTCACATCAGTCCCTAACCCTCAAGGTGTGTATGATCTAAGGTCCCTAACGCACATTCATACATACACATACTAGGGCCAATTTAGACAGGATCCAATTAACCTACCAGCATGTCTTTGGACTGTGGGAGGAAACCGGAGTACCCACGGAGGCACAGGGAGAACATGCAAACTCCAAGCAGGCGGTGCCATGGCTGGGGTTTGAATCAACGACCCTAGTACTGCCAGGCGGAAGTGCTAACCATTTAGCCGCTGTGCTGCTTGTTAATGTGTATTTTCTCTGTTTATTTATGTTAATAAATATTTTTTTTAAAGTGGCTGAACGTGTTATGCATATTGTCAAATGTGTTTTGGCTAATAATAGTGAGTTGGTCATGTAGGGAATCCAACACAGGTTTTTTTTGGGGAGTGTTGCTACCAGTAGATCTAAATAGTTAACACTCAAACAATCAGCACATCCTAAATAACATTGAAAGTTGTCACTTCCCACTTCCCAAGGCATTGGTGGTTATACTCTTTGGCCCTTCTGCTGTTTTTTACCTGCTGGTCTGTCCTTCAAAGAGTTCTAGCTGTTCCACATCAAACAAGTTCTCTGGCACATGTACCAGTTGGCCCTTATCTGCTATCAATTTGGCTGTCCCAAGGGAGCTTAGAATTATCAGTGGACTTTGTGGGCAAGGCTAACTTTCCCAAAAATGGGAAAACACAATATTGCAGCTTGTCTTCAAATTGTTGGCTAGCTTTGGTCTTTGATGCAGGAGTCTTCTTCAAAATCCGCATCCCACAAACACTTGCCTCCCCAGAGACTGACACTGCTGTCCAAATACGTTCCCTGTGCTACTTCATACACACACACACACACACACTATAAAAGAAGTGTGTCAATAGCCAGGCTCACCAGGTGAAAAACCAGGCCACAACTTACAAACATTAAGCCTGCCAAGGAAAGCTAGAGACACCTAAAGTTGTGAGAATAAGAAAAAGGACTTCCGTTGTTTGGACTATCATTATGCTTGACTAACTTGACCCAGACTAAGTTTGCTTTACACACCGTGTAACATCTTGCCCTGAGATTGGTTGGGGAGCATAGGATCTTTAGCTGCCTGATTCTAGACATGTGTGTGCGCCTATGGAATTTATGTGCCCAGTGGACACTTGTTCCTCCATTCCCTTCCCAACTCCTGTTGGCAAAACACTGATATGTGAATGAGCAACAAGTTGGATCCAAGTGGTATGTGGTGAGCAGATAGTCAATTTGGCCATTAGGGCCTCTGCTGCGGTAAATTGCATGTAAGTGGTCTCATCCATAACTGATAGTCCTTCCAAGAGCAGCTTTCAAGTCATGTGGCTTCTGTGTAATGCCAATCCCAATTAGAAATGAGGTGAGAAGAAACATCTTGACAGAGTTGGCCCACAGGATCCACCCACACATTATCTACTTGGTTGCACCTCCCTTTTTGCCAGTCTTCACAACTACACTCCACCAAGCTATGTAGAAGTCCCTGGATGGAATGAAAGAGCAAACTTAAACAATGTAACGTGAATGGAGTGTTCTGTGTAAACTATTGATGGATTTCACAAGCAGCAGCAAATTAAGATTGGGAGTAGCTGCAGACAACTTCAATCTTTATATATCCGAGTTTAGGATTGAAGAAGCTGGTTTACCTCTTTGAAACATGCAATCCTAAAGCTGGACTTGCCAGAAAAGACTTTGTTTGGACATTACCAAAAATTCAAGGTAAGCAAGACTGGCCACTGCAGTTGGAGCTAGCAGAGTACTGCAATGCTATAGGGACATGCAGATCAGCTCCAACTGCAATGAAGAAGATTGCCTACCTGCAAAGGCTAAAGAAGGCCACAACACAGTGCACTGTCAAATATAAATAACATTTATTTCTAAAAAAAAAAAAAATAAAATTTAAAACCACTACAATTGTTGACGGAAATAGGACACTATGTCTGTCTGGTTCTCGGCTGGCCCCACCCCCAATGCATGTTCCAGTGCTCCTATTCTTTCACAAACCCAGCTCATGAGGCCTCACTGTAGAAAAAGTCAGGAAAAAAAATGTATTAGCTGCAATTAAAAGTGACAAACTTGCTTCCAAAACAAAAACAGCATGCAATACATGTCTAACTTTGTCCATTATCCTGAAAGCACTCTATGCTGTTGTCAACTCATAATTGGAACACAGAGTTACATTTCTTGCCTAGGAGGATTTCAAGGCCCAGGGAGTGAGCTTGGACTCCTTAGGCCTAGAATAAAGTGTTTGCTCACTGACTACAAATTATATCTGTTGGCAACAGTGAAAAGGGCAATCTCGTCAGTAAAGACAACAGATGACTTTGCCACACCTACAGGTAAAACTGGAAAAATTAGAATATCGTGCAAAAGTTCATTTATTTCAGTAATGCAACTTAAATGGTAAAACTAATATATGATATACTCATTACATGCAAAGCAAGATAGTTCAAGCCATGATTTGTCATAATTGTGATGATTATGGCTTACAGCTCATGAAAACCCCAAATCCACAATCTCAGAAAATTAGAATATTCCATGCAATTGTACATAGAACAATATCGGACCTCTGAAAAGTATAAGCATGCATATGTACTCAGTACTTTGGTTTGGGCCCCTTTTGCAGCAATTACTGCTTAAATGCGGCGTGGCATGGAAGCTATCAGCCTGTGGCACTGCTGAGGAGTTATGGAAGATCAGGATGCTTCAATAGAGGCCTTCAGCTCTTCTGCATTGTTCGGTCTCATGTCTCTCATCTTTCTCTTGGCAATGCCCCATAGATTCTCTGTGAGGTTCAGGTCAGGCGAGTTTGCTGGCCAATCAAGCACAGTAATCCCACGGTCATTGAACCAGGTTTTGGTGCCTTTGGCAGTGTGGGCAGGTGCCAAGTCCTGCTGGAAAATGAAGTCCGCATCCCCATAAAGCTCGTCTGCGGAAGGAAACGTGAAGTGCTCCACAATCTCCTGGTAGACGCCTGCGTTGACCCTGGACTTAATGAAGCACAGTGGACCAACACCAGCAGATGACATGGCTCCCCACATCAACACAGACTGTGGAAACTTCACACTGGACTTCAAGCATCTTGCATTGTGTGCCTCTACCTTCTTCCTCCATACTCTGGGTCCTTGGCTTCCAAATTAGATGCAAAAGTTGCTCTCATCAGGACTTTGGACCACTGAGCAACAGACCTGGTCTGTTTTTGTTTAGCCCAGGTAAGACGCTTCTGACGTTGTTTGTTGTTCATGAGCGGCTTGACAAGAGAAGTACGACACTTGAAGCCCATGTCCAGGATCCGTCTGTGTTGGCTCTTGATGCACTTACTCCAGCCTCAGTCCACTCCTTGTGAAAGTCCCCAACACTTTTGAATGGCCTTTTCCTGACAATCCTCTCCAGGCTGCGGTCATCCCTGCTGCTTGTGCACCTTTTTCTTCCACACCTTTCCCTTCCACATAACTTTCTATTAATGTGCTTTGATACAGCACTTTGGGAACATCCAACTTCTTCTGCAATTACCTTTTGAGGCTTTTCCTCCTTATGGATTGTGTCAATTATGGTTTTCTGCACAACTGTCAGGTCGGCTGTCTTTCCCATGATTGTGATTCCTACTGAACCAGACTGAGAGACCATTTAAAGGCTCAGGAACCATTTGCAGGTGTTATGGCTTAATTAGCTGCTTAGAGTGGGACACTTTGAGCCGAGAATATTGCACCTTTTCACAATATTCTAATTTTCTGAGATTGTGGATTTGGGGTTTTCATGAGCTGTAAGCCATAATCATCACAATTATGACAAATCATGCTATGCATTATGACTATCTTGCTTTGCATGTAATGAATCTATCTCATATGTTAGTTTCATCTTTTAAGTTGCATTACTGAAATAAATGAACTTTTGCATGATATTCTAATTTTTCGAGTTTCACCTGTATCTCCTCCACAGAGTTCCCAAAAACATCTATCCTAGCTTTCTGTTGGAGAGCCTTGCTCTTGACAAGAGGAATTGGCTCACACACATCAGCTTAGCTACGCTTACACTACAGTAAGAGTGGGAACACTCATTGGTCAGCCATTGCAGCCATTCCCACTTTCCTTCCTGGGGTCTACAATAGAGTGACTTCAAGCATCCCGAAGAAAAGGACACAGGTCGGCAGCAGCAGAACTGAAGCTTCACAGGAATATGTCACAAAGTCTATGTCTTTGACAGTCTAGCTGCAAAAGGGCTCAGTCCATACAATATTCCCCTAAGCAAAAACACAAATGCCCCCTCGATTGTTAACACATGCACACTGCAAGGTGGCATTTGTAGCTTGGAGCAGATTGGGAATCACAAAAAAAAATAAGTCTGGTGCCAGCCTTCCCACCCTTTACCCAACACCCCTTATGTAACACCCCCACACATAGGCACTGTCCAAAAGCAAATATTGTAAAGTTGATTAAATTCAAACAAATGGGACATACCTGGCCCAACTGGGCCCTGGGGCTTGGGGGAACTGGAGGACACT